ATATATATACTTTTAGACTGGGACCGTTTTCTTTGAATCCTGTGATTATTTGAGATATCTTCTTAGATTTATCCTTTTTTGGGAGTGCTATAATTTTTCTTTTTCCAGTGGTGTGCTTGTAGTTTGAGCAAGATCAGGTGGTGGATCCTTTTGACATTTGTACCCTCGCTGACTTTGCTGAACAGCCAAATTTTCTGCTGTTTTATTTAGGACAGCTGTGTGCTTGTAGTTTGAGCAAGATCAGGTGGTGGATCCTTTCGACATTTGTACCCTAGCTGACTTTGCTGAACAGCCAAATTTTCTGCTGTTTTATTTAGGACAGCAGTCAACTGCTTCTTCCCTCTCTAATCTTCACCGTTTTCCCCTAGCTTCTCTTCTTACTTCTTACAAATGTTCCCAACACTAAACCCTAACTTACGCCTAATTCTAAATAAATAAAAAAAAAATCACCTTTGGTTGAAACCGCAAGGGAGAGCGAACTACTGTATCCCTGAGAGAAACCTTTCAAAGGAATATTCAATGGCTTACCATGTTGTGTTGATTCGAGTATAGAAGGATAGAGGGTGACTTTGGAGTCAAGATCAATCAATCAGATTCTAAAGGTCATATGGATCCGGATAAGTTCATCGAGTGGTTTTAGACTATGGAGCAGGACTTTGGTTACAAAGTTTTCCACCCAATAGGAAGATAAAATTAGTGTTATCAAGTTTAAGAAGAGTGTTTTTTGGTGGTGAGAGAATTTGAAGCATTTGCGTTAGTGTAGAAGAAAAACTAAGTTCACAATTTGGTTCAAGATTAAAAAAAATGAGATATAACACAAGTTTCTTTCAACACATTATAGATATGAAATATTCTTGAGACTTCAACACTTACAGTACTACCAGTAGAAGACTATATCATTGTGTATGAGCAATTTATGTTAAAGTGTGAGTTGGTGGAGCCCGAGGAGAATATCATAGCCTAATGATAGCCGAATTTGGTTCAAGAATAAAAAAATGAGATATAACACAAGTTTCTTTCAACACATTATAGATATGAAATATTCTTGAGACTTCAACACTTAGAGTACTACCAGTAGAAGACTATATCATTGTGTATGAGCAATTTATGTTAAAGTGTGAGTTGGTGGAGCCTGAGGAGAATATCAGAGCCTAATGATAGCCCAAAATCATGACAGATTGGGACTATTTATTGGCAGTGTGTATAATTATAATTTTTATGGGCCTTACAATATGTCTAGATCTTAGCCTTGAAGGTGGAGAGGCGGTGATTATATCAAATCCACTCCAAGCTTCACACAGCGTTCGACCATGTGGTCGAGCGAGGAGAACACACTGACCAGAAGTGCCATGACTGGCCTTTCTTGAGGAGAAGCCAACAAAGATGGAAATAAATCTCCGTGAATTCTCGAAAATGTATTTGATCATCAATGAGGGAAGATAAACATCAACATTCTATATCATGACTTTTGTGATCCGATACTGCGTTGAGGGATTTACTTCACTGTGTGTCTTCCCTCTCCACCTTCAGACAACTTTGTTTGTCATCCATGCAAGAATCTTGTTTACAATTTCCTTACAAAAAATTATAATTCAAAACGTGCTTCTTGGTTAAGATGGAATGACTGAGAAAATGATTGGGCTAACGCCAATAAGACATTCCTAGTCAAGAAGTGTTTTAAGTGTTATGGATATGGACATGTTGCATCCAATAGCCCAAACAGAGGGTGATTCTTCTCTGAGTACAATTATACTAGAAGCAAACCAAACCACAAGAGAAATAATAATATCATTGCTGAACTTTAATAGGGTTACAAATAAGGACTCTTGTCACTTAGGGAATATAGAAACATAAATTGAAAAGACATCCTAGGATATGTGGAGGTTGCATCAAGGCAGAGGCTACTGGGAGGATTTGTGGAGGATGCATCAAGGCCTACAAAATAATTCATTTAAGGATATTTAATGGTTGGATGGGTTCACGTACGAGAGCTGGATTTCACGGGGGAGGGGAAGGAATAATAGGATATGGGAGGGAGTTACGGGAATTGAGGGAGGATGGGGTGTGGCTGGGTTTTTCGGGAGAGGTTTTGGGTGTCACAGAAGAGGAGGAAAAGCTGGCTGCGAGGGAAGCCTAGGCTGTTTGTGGATAGAAGCATGGGGGTGCAGGGAGAAATAGCAGGCGACAGAGGGGAGGTGGAGGTAGAAGTCGGAGAAGAAAATCACCACCGGAGAGAGAGATATAGCCGGAGCACCACCCTAACCGTTGGATACAATCTTCAAGGGAAATTAGGATGCCAGTTGCTGTCCGCACAAATCTGAAATTAGAAATAACATAAAATTGAGAACCTAGATAACAAACACACATATAGATAGGAGATGAATAGGCGGAAAATGAAAATAGAAAGGTGGGTAAATTTCCCGCCAAGTGAAAGGAGGGGGCCAGTTCAACACCCCTCTCTCAACTGAACAGGTTTGGGTTAAGCTAGTTCAACTTTTTGAGGAAAACCCTCGTGTCATTCTTCAGGGTTTGGGGGGAGCTTTGATCTCATTCGTCGAAGCTTTTGGATCCTTATAGTACGACGATAAGTCCTGTGGTAGGTTGATCGTGTTGGTGTAATCATTCCACAACACATTCTGGTAGAATAGGTAGCCATCCTCTTTTGATACATCTAGAGCAAGAGTTGCATATAAAGGTGTGTTTCCGCAATGCAACTCTCTAGCCCTTACATTTTGAAATCTTCTGCTTCCACTTTCTGTGCCTAGCGTGTGGTGGTTGAGTATTAAGTATGTGAGGAGAACTTAATTCTGGGATGAAATTTGTGGCGAGCTGCGCCATTCTCACTGACACCCCCTCAAGAGAGACCTCCTCCCCACGAAGAGGACCGGGATTTTATTGCAGAATTTTTGCCTCCATCAAGCTCCTTAGGCCCACTACAAAGATAGGGTTCATCTCTTCCATATGGACATCTAACTAGGTGTCCCATGCTGACCTGAAAGTAGCATCTGAATATGTCTATGTAATGGTCTCGACATGACACAATGACCTCATTTTTGATTATGTTGGACCTTTGTAGGAGCAACTCAGAAAGGGGTCTATATTTCTGAAAAGTTTGTATCTCGCTTATCCGTGGTGGACCTATATCTGATGTCGACTCATCAAACTCATTACCCTTATAGCATCCAAGGCCATTCCTGTTGATGTTCCTCTCATGCTAGCTCAAGGCACTATAATCTCATGCTCTGCTATGCTGCCATTATCTCAGTTACTACCTTCTAGAGTAGTGACTGTTACCTCTGTTGAAATCTCTATCTCGGGGTCAACTGGATTTTGCGGCATCCCTTTTTCACTAGCTACAAGTGGAGAATCCTCTCGGAAGTTTTCATCTTCTTTCTAATCACCGTTCATCTCTTCAACTGGAAGTTGGTGCTCATTTATGTCCTTACCGTCTTCAGTGTTTGCGGTGTCTTTACCAATCTTTTCGATGACACTCTGCTTGGTTAAGTAGATCACTCCCCTAGTTGTGCATTATGCCTGAACATGTCCAAATCCATGACACTTGCCACATTTTTTGGCTGTGACAAACTTTTAGTTTGGTTTTGTTGGATAGTAGTCAGGGGGTTCGTTTTGTGCTGCGGTCTCTCCACATCGGAAGCTAGAGTTTGCAACTTTTGGTAGTAGTAAGTTGGTAGGAACTGACACTGTGTTTGCTACTTCATCTTTATATCTCCTCGTTCCCCTCTTCGACCTCGGATCACGGTCGAGGGTAGCTTCTCATTTGATTTCATCTTCAATGTTCATAATCCACTGCCAAAATCGACGGATCTCTCGCTGTATCTCCTCCCTGGTAATCTTGAACATGTATCTCATTAGTGGCATGACTAAGGTTTAGAGTTAGGTGATGACAAATGGTGCATGAGATTAATTGTATGTATATAAAGTTTGATTTGGAATTGCTGATTTCGAAAATCAACAAAAAAAATTTATGGTTTGGTTTTTGAATTAGTGATTCAGGGTAGGAAAGAAAATTTTCCGATGGGGGGGAGGCGGGCGCTAGGGAATCCTTGGATAGGGCTAAGGTTGGGCTAGCTCTAATACCAAATGATACCGAAGGAAATCCAAACCACAACGGAAACACAAATTATTATTTATGAATTTTAAACTGGTTAAAAAACACGACACTTGAAAAAATAGTAAGTAATGATAAACAAACACAAACAACATAAATAATAAAAGATACCCACGGGTGATAATGAGGACGGAGGCTGCTGGACGGTGAGTTGGCGGCTGATGGAAAATGGTTGTGGTTGTTGAAAGAATGTTGGAAGGTGGCTGACGGCTGTAGGAGAGGGGCTGCGGTTGAGGGTAGGTGGCAGGAGGGAAGGACAACAACTGGGAGATGGCTGTGGTTGCTGAATGAAGGCTGGAAGGTGGCTGCGGTTGCTGAAAGAAGGCTGGAAGGTGGCTGACAGCAATAATGGAGGGGCTACGGTTATTGGAGGGGCTGCAGTAC